CGAGACATAGATAACAAAGGCGGTTTGTTGGGGTAGAGGGCTCTGATTCACTTTGTCTCGCTGGGCTAGGTTTTAAACGAGGAGGGTCAACGACCTCAGAAGATGATTCGGTTGTGGGACCGAGTTAGTCTGACCCCTAACCATTGACACGTCTGTTATAAGTGGCTCTGAAGGCGCTTGAAAAGTGCCATTTAGCTTACCTCAATGGTTCACGGGAATACGCAGTTCATCGCGCCGCACTAAGGTCCAATCTCGTTGCGATGGCCTCAGTCGGTTGTTCTTTACTCCCAGGTTGGGATTTCAAAGATACAGAGTGTGGCTGGTTGGAGACCCTGGAACTCATGGCTCAAGACGGACCTTATTGGCATATATGTATCTGGGTGTTGCGGTGATTTTTCTTCCGCTATATAACTGACAACTAATAAAACGAAAACGGTGATCGGAAAACTGGACAAAGAGCTATTGCATCTTTTTTCTTATTCCTATCCTATTTTTTATTCAGCCATGCTTCCGATGGCACAATATCCGTACTCCAGCTTGCGATATATATACATATTTATTTATATATTTACATATATTTATATATTTCTATATAACCTGACTGCGTCGTACACTCTTCGGCTTTACACTCCGGTGACAACTGGAGGAACGCCGCAAGCAGAGATTTCCACATGTTGTGTTTAATACGACGTTCTTCGGGAGTCTTGACGGGTGGCATCTTTACGAGACTGTTCTCGGCTTTCGTTCGGCCTCATCTGGAATACTGCGTCCAGGCTTGTCCGCCCTTCCTCGTTCGGGACAGAATGTAGCTAGAGAGGGTTTTTCGGGTTGGTACTAGGTTTGTTGAGGGATTACGGGGACACACGTACCCCGAGCGTCTACTTAGTTTGGGAATGTATTCAATAAACTACCGAAGGCTTAGAGGAGACCTAATCCCAACTTACCGTATCTTAACTGGAAATGTTGGTCCAGATTTATCTTGGCTATTCAGTCCCGCTAGATTGTCTGTTCTACGCGGTCATTCCTTGAAGCTGGACAGTCCGCGGTCCGATCGGATTAGAACGGAAATCCGGCTGTCACACCGAGTCATTGAGAACTGGAACATGCTTCCGGAAACTGCTATCAGGGAATCTACGGTTAAGGGGTTTGAGCGGCAACTTGACGCTCTTCGGTGGTAACACGAAACCTATCCCTTTTCCTGACTCTTAAATCATCTACCGAACAGTAATTGCTCTGCTCCTTTGGCCATCCTCTCGTATAGTGATTGGACGTGAAATCTAACTACTGAAGTTGATTGTGGACGCTGGAGAAAGTGAACTTTCTCCATCCCCCTTCAAATTCTAGGGACTCCCTTTGTGGATGACTTAAACGATCCATTAGTGAAACCGTGAGAGCAGCATACCGTCTCAACCGACTGGTGTTGCCCCATCATCATCGTGGCTCACGTTTGAATGCGGCACTTACAAGGGAATCAGTTAGCTCTTCATTGTCTTTGTTAGTTGCCTCTGTCGTTTTTCGCATATTGACTGGTGCCAGTTAAAGCCAGATTCGTGAAGAGCAGGCCGGGTTCCATCAAAGTTGAGACCGCATTGGCCACATGCTCACATACGTCAATTGTTGGAACGTGTCAGCTGTACGCCGTAACGGCGCTTCGCTGTTGCGCGACCACCACCAGTTGCGCGCGGGCTGAGTACGCCGCGAGGACGCTCACCCCTACGTGGATTTAAACAGCGTGCAGACCACTCGGTCACCGGAGCACTGACACCCACTGTTGTCGGGTTCCCCGACATCATATAGGCCCGGTTCGATGGATCGATGTGCTCTTTGGAACTGTCTAGTCAGGAAAAGGGTGTTCAAGAAATACGTATACGTTTTCAAGGCGTTTTATGCACATACTTCTGGCAGAGTATGTGCTTATGGCAAACTGTTGCAGCCCTTCAATTTCTTCAATGATGTGAGACTAGGATGCTTGTTAAAGCTTTTTAACTTTTCTATTGACGACTTTATGGAAGTTACCTTCACTGGATACGACTTATAAGTTGTGGAGCTGCTCCCAGATGATCGACTTCTTAACTTGGAGGGTGCAGGCGATATTATACTAATCTGTGACTTCACAAGCGTTCCAAGTAGCACTGGATGGATTCGTACTAGCTTTCCGCCGTCTTCCTTCTGCTTTCTACTACTGAATGAACTTTTTACTCATCGCATCAATCTACGTATATATATGAGGTTTCGCTCTTTTATGGGAAGCCAACGAGGAACTTTGAGATGCCTCCTTTACTCATGGAATTGCACATCCAAGGTGCTGCTTTATCTGAAACAATATACTTCATTTGAGCATCCATGATTTTTACGTTATATTCTCGTTACCTGTCTTTGGTCTACGGAGTAAATCTAGCAAGCATACGGTTACTTCATCTTTTGTCTTTTTCAGCCTCTTTCCTACAGATTTTTGCACCTTGAAGTCATTTTCATTACGCGACATTCCGTGACATTCAACTAAAACTAGTTTTACTTCACTCCCCAGTGAAAGTTATCTGTCATAATCTATCCAGTAAGTTTGAACTGTTTTTAGCCCTAACTTGCTTCCCAGAAACTCTTAGAAACTGTTAAACTGCTTTTGGATGCCTCTTTTCCCCCACCGGATTATCGACAATGATAGGAAAACTTTGGAACGTAAAATGTATCTGGTAAGGTATTATTTACCTCCTGGGTCTTCGTATTTGCTTAGCGCGTGTTGCTTCATTTGCTCAATCGTCTATGGAAACGGCAAGATCTCTCTCCATCGGTTAAAGCTGTGCCGATGTTGGTGCATAGATCAGAAACATATCTACCTAACACTGAAAGCATTTAGAGCTTGCTCGCCTTTGACTACCAGTGTTTGCGCATTGTTGCCTAAATATAGTGGAAGCGCAAGGTTAGCAGCTTTATCTCACTGGTGCTTATACTAAGCTCAAATCGTTTACGTCGGTTAGATCAATTCATCCGCTTGTGTTTGTCCTCTTCCCCAGTGTGCCTTATATGCTACCGCGGCACGTAGCTTGGCAAAACTAATGGGTGGCCAGTCGTTAAATTACCGTAAGGAAATGATGCAATCTAACTGGACTTAGTCGGGCTGATACGTAGATGGGAGCCTCAGATCGGGCCATATCAGTTGTTGAAAATCTTGTCGAGCATGACGCAGTTGGACAGACAGTGGCGTTCTTGCATTCGATTTCTTTCATTTAACTGTTACCATACCACCCTGATTAGTTTCATACATTAATTCCTAATCTCTTTGTATTCTGTTCTTGTTCAAACTCATTTTCCCAACAACTCGGAGGCAATAGTCTTGGCAATTGGACGCATCGCACCACGGTGCCCGGATCATAGTTGTTTACCTGTGCTGAGCTGAGTTAGGTCTGCATATTTTACCAGATCTTATTCTCAAAGCATTTTCTGGTCTCCGTTGACAATAAGCTAAATAGCTGGTCTATCCACTCAACGTTATGTATTGGAAGTATCCTCAGACTGCGAAGTTCTTGCTATTCAGACTTTACGACTTTAAAAATAATCAAGACTGATTTCAACGCCAGGAAATACTATGTATTCATACATAACACGCCCCGTAGTTTGCGACTACTCTTAGTGGAATCAAATCAGCGAATAACAAACTGAATAGTTTCCCTGATTCCACGCAGTTACTTACTTGACTGGTAGCGAAGTTGTTCATTCATCTAGCTTACAATTCACGAGCTACCGTCTCGTACTTGCGTATTTACAAGCCACGTTGCAGTATCTCAGCTCGTATAAACCCTTGGCGAGTGCGCGACAGCGAGGCGTTTGCGAGGTTCCCGAGTAGTATTTATTCTAGCACATCGCCGAAGACCCGATTGTGACGCCATACAAACGGCTTACCGCTGTATGATTTCAGTCCGTTGCACCAGCTTGTTGCTGTGTTCATCGCTGCATTGTGCGGCATGAACCTATCAGACTACCTAGTATGCGAAGCTTCCCGGCCCTGTTTCACCGCAAAGAGCTAGGTCATAATCACAACAATCCACTACGATAAATGATGGGGTGATGGGGGCTGGTGATTGGAAACGCTATAATGCCGATCGAACCTCACAGGCCATACCGATAAGGAGTGAGCATGTTGCCGGAAGCAGATTGGTCAGCTAATCAGGACATAGATGGCCCGTAATCGCGACCACCATGCAACTATCCACTGAACGTGCCAGTGACCAATCAGGCGCCAGCAGACGAAGGAGCGCATACTCGTGCACCCTTGAGCCAAGGCTTGTGGCATTGGACCGATGGAAGAAGCTCGCGAGCCCAATTCCGCCAATCGTACATGGACTAAGAAAGCCAGGGTGATTTAGACAGAGTGAACGTCGCGAGCAAGCATAAACCAATGGAAAGGGAGCCAGCGACACAGTGCAAATAACAGGGATGATCCATTGAGACGGACTGTGGTAAATAGTGTATGTACTCTATAAATATTCGAGCGTACTCTTAATAAATGACTTTGTGATCGCGGCCCAGTCTTCTTGCTTCCTGGAGAGCTACACGACATGGCGACAGAGGAGAAGAAGCCGGTGCGCCGAAACCCGCTTGTTTTTGGTGGACAGCCGTCGATCACTCTGCCGACCGCTCTGCAGATGACTGAATGCATGATGCCAGAGAATTGGAGAATGTGGAAGGGAAGTGGAAGTGGAGGGATTTCGTCACCCTGACCCAGTTGGATACTCAACCAATGGCGTATCAATTGGCGATGTTTAGGCACGCTGTGGGTGATGAAGCCAGGAGGGTGCTCGAAACATTGGAGCTTAGTAAGGCAGGTGAAGAAGTCGAACTTTCGGAAGTGCTGAGAAGATTCGGGGCGTTTTGCGAAGGACAAGTAAACGAAACGTATCAGAGGTATTTATTTTTTGTTCGCGATCGATTCCCAAGCGAATCGTTCGAGACTTACATAACAGAACTGAAACTGTTAGCGCGTAACTGAAACTTCTGCAGTTGCATGCGACACTCCTTGATACGTGATCATTGGCATAAAAAATGGTGAACTCACTCTGCACTTTCAGAGACAAAGGAATCTGTCTTTGGAACAATGTGTGGACGTCTGCTTGAGTGAAGCAGGACGGCGCAGCAGTTCGAGCATGTGAGAGCCGAAACAAGCACCGATCTTTGCGCGGTCTCCCGAACCAGCAATTATCCGCCCCAGACACCCGAAGGACATGGTCCGAGTTGTCAGTTTTGCGGTCGTGTACATCCAAGAAGAAAAGAGAGCTGCCCAACTTGGGGTCGAACGTGCACAAAATGTTCCAAGAGGAACCATTTTGCTCGCTGTTGCAGATCCGCTAAGGCCAGTCCAATAGTCGAGAGCATCAATGAACAGTCGCAAGAATTTTCGATAAGCAACTTGGAAAATCGTGGAGAACACAGGTGTGTTTTCGCTACGCTTTTGATTCGAGGACGACCGATGTGCTTCCAATTGGACTCAGGGGCTACTGGAAACATCCTACCTGAGAAGTACTGTATGTGAATGACATATGACAGGACGCAGAATTGCCTCAGAATGTGGAATGGTTCAAAGCTGCTGTCGAAAGGTACCGCCATGTTGAAGGCCATCAATCCGAAAAACGGCACAGAACACCAACTCGATTTCCCGATAGTCTCAGGAGACTTTATGGGCATTCTGGGTATTGGTTCTATTAAGAGTCTCGGTTTTGCCTCTTTTAACCATGAAAGTTTCGTCCCTTTGTGTGAAGATAACAGATATTCTTGACGGCTCCCCAAGCATGTTTTATGGGGTCGTAGGGAGCTTCGAAGGGGGTGTTCATTTATCTTTAATCGAATCTGTTAAGCCGGTAGTGTTGCCGACCAGAAAGGTGCCTATTGCTTTACGTGAGAAATTTTTAGATGAGCTGCACCGTCTCACTAGTTTGGGTGTAATAGCCAAAGTGGAGGAGACGACAGATTGGGTTAGCCAGGTGGCGATCGTTACTAAGAAATCTGGAGAGCTACGCGTGTGCATTGATCCAAAACCACTTAACGCCGCACTCAGGAGGGAGCATTATACTCTATCGACGCTAGACGACGTACTTCCGGTGCTATCCAGAGCTAGAATATTCACTAAAATCGACCTTGTTTCCGCGTTTTGGCATGTGTTAACTTGACGAAAAGTTAAGCTACCTGACCACATTTGGGACACCTTTCGGGCGTTTTCACTGGCTTCGTTTGCCGTTTGGACTGAATGTATCTAGCGAGGTATTCCAGAAACGACTGGTGCATGCTTTAGACGATTTACCGGGAACGTTCTTTGTAGCAGACGACGTTTTGGTTTTTGGCGCAACGCGAGAGGAGCACGACCAGAACCTTCACCGATTTTTGCAGCGCTGTTTTGAAAGGAACATCAAGCTGAAACGAGAGAAGATCAAGTTGCGTAGGACGGAAGTGGTGTTTCCTGGACACATGCTAAGCTCCGAAGAACTGAAACCATACCCAGAGAAAGTCAGGGCCATCAAACAGATGCCTCCTCCTACTGACGTGAAAGCCGATGTACTGGTACCGATTCGAAAACTAACGCAAAAGAGTGTGAAGTGACATTGGGACACGGAACAGGAGAGAGCACTTCAGAAAAAATGATCACGAACGCCCCCCTTCTCACTTACTGTAATCCAGCATTCCCAATCGGGATCCAGTGTGACAGCAGTCAGTATGGTATCGGAGACGTACTCATGCAGAACGGTAAGTCTGTCGACTTTCGCAGCCGGACGCTGACAGAGACCGAGCGTTGTTACGCGCAAATAGATAAAGAAATGCTTGCCCTGATTTACGCCGTGGAGCGTTTCAATAACTATACATTTGGCCGCAAATCCACCGCCTTTACCGAACACCAGCCCCTAGTGCCGATCGCCAGCAAGCCACTCCATGTTGTTCCACGCCGCCTGCAAAGGATGCTTATTCGTCTTCAGAAGTGTGATCTAGAGATTATCTACCGGTCAGGATCCCAGATGCACATTGCGGACACGCTGTCAAGAGCGCATCTGTCAGACACGCCAGGAAAGGAAGAAGACCCAGATTTTGTCCATGCGACACAGCTGATCGCCGTCACTGAGGAACGCTTGCAGCACCTCCAACGATACACTGAGGAGGACGAATTGTGTAGACTATTGAAGCACACGATCATGAACGGATGGCCCGAAGACAAGAAAAGTTACCAAAAGAGCTGACTCCATTCTTCCATTTTCGTGACAAACTCATTACTCAGGATGGATTAATATTCAAAGGCAATTGGATAGTGGTTCCAAAGGCACTGTAGCGTTCGATGCTAGAGCTGATACCTTGTGCACATTTAGGAACCAACAACCTGGTTGCAAGAGCTAGAGAGCTGTTGTTTTGGCCCGGAATGACCAGCCAAATACTGACTAGGTCTTCAATTGTGTAGCATGCAGAGCACACGACGTGCCCCAGCCAAAAGAACCGATGTTGCTACGTGACGTTCCTGACAGGCCCTGGCATATTGGTTGCACCAGACATTTTTTCTCACCATGGAAGCAACTATTTGATCGTGGTAGTTTATTTTAGTGAGTACTTCGAGATCGATGCGCTTACGATGACTAGTACGCAAT